GTCCAGTCAAATTGCACCCCAGGTAGCGTGCATAACATAAAAGGCAGCAGTTGAGGAGGTATTTGAATGAAGGCCTTGGTGGTCTCAGCACGGTGCTATATTGTTTTTAAAACACCACAAATATTGACACAAAAAAATCACCAGATGGATTTGTAGAGAGCTGAATCGCAGTAACACAAAAAAAAAAAAGTGTGTGTCTGGTGCGCGCGCGCACACTCACACACACACACACACACACACACACACACACACACACACACACACACACACACACACACACACACACACACACACACACACACACACACACACGGCACTTCCTGACCTTTGACCTGAATAATGTGGTGTTTTCCCATCGGAGGGATTGCAAGATAATAATTCAGTGTTCTAGAAGTCAGTTTTCTGGTTCTGGAGGAAAACATTTCATGAAATCTGCAACGAGTGTCCCAAAACAAACTCACCACTTCTGTGTTTGTGATTTTGGCCAGCAGGTCTGTCAGACTGTCGCCCCACTGCGACTGGTCAGCTGAATCCAGCTGCAGGCCGCAGATGGCTGCCCCCACACTTCCTGTGGCGATCATGGAGGGAGGATGCATGGCGAATCCGAAATCTGTCGGCGGAAGAAAGCAACAACTGAGTTAAATGTATCTCCAGTTATTTTGGTCCAGAGGGGTATTCATCGTCACATGAAGCGAGGAGCTAAAATATGAAGATCAGCAAAAAAATGTTGTTCACTGGACTTTATTCACCTGGTGCAGTTTCTAAAATGCACTTTTCAATTCAGTTGCTCCTCAAAAAAAGGGTACACATATGTCCCCCCCGAGAGACAATATGATCTAGTAATCTAGCAGTCGGCTAATAAATAATCCTTCTATTGCAGCGGGCCTGAACGCGGCGCTCACTAATGACCAAAGGGGCCCGGGTAATGAGGGTTCACTTGGCTTGTAAAGGGAGCTGAAAAGCAAACCACCCTCACCCGCTCTCCCACCCCCTGTCCGACCCAAATGGGTCGCGTGTGGAGTAAATAATGATCCATGCGGCCCGGTTTTCCCCTCACGGGACTTACAAATAAATCACCGCGCAACGAGGTCGCGAGCAGCTGCTGCAGAACGGACTCACAAAGGTACACAAAGGGACTCACAGACGTACACAAAGGGACTCACAAAGGGACTTGGTGCGCAAACCAGTGCAGCTGTACTGGTTTTTACTCCCTCATAACCAAAGCAGAAATGAGCCGAAGCCACTTGGCGTTGTTCAATGGAAGCCCGTTATTGTGGTGATTCAGGGTTAAAGACCCCCGACGGACGGCCGCACACAGAAGGACCAGGATATCTTCTAGGGGGGCCCGAGGGCCCCGAGGGGATCCGTGGCTCTCCATCCTTTTGGACGTTCCTCTCGATCGCGCTGATCCCCGTGTGGCGGCTCAACGCTGCCTCGGGCCTCCTAACTGGAGCGAGACCCTGAGCCGTGGGCCTAGTAGACATGTGGGAGGAGCGAGGAACGGGGGCCGGTGCCGGGGGGGGGGCG